AATGTCCCGAGAATCCTGATCTGATCCAAACCCTCCTCAACCAACAAGCTGGGACTTAAACGTAAGACTTCACTCGTCATCTGTCAAAGACACCGTAAGTAGACTTGAAGTTGTTCATTAGATACAGTGGAGCTTTACTCGGTGTTGCATGTGAGACCATGTGAAACTATTCAAAGGCAAATGGAAAATCTCATCATCTTTATTTACACGATAGATCAACACTATCCACTGTGGATTGATTTGTGTTTTGATGTTGAATAATCACCTCTATACACTTGAAAGATGGTGGTTTAAACTCTCCACAGGAAGCTGTGCCTGCCATTATATCTGTGTCTGTCTTTGTGGATTTCATGAATTTAACAATGCAGATCATTTAATTGTAAAGCTGAGAGCATTTATTTGTCATAGGTACTGCATACAACCCTGCCCACTGTTGGTGCATTCAAAAACAAACATGCAAATGAATTAAAAAGAACACCTGATAAGATAATTAATATAAAAATATTAACTTTTAGTCCACAAATCTTTAACACTGATTTCTTTCAAACCCCAGACATTAATTCAGTCTGTTTTGTGTGTGTGTTTTTTTTTACCTGGTCTCATATTTAGTGATTTGTAAATTACTATTTTAAAAACAATAGTTCTCAATGGTTGTTTGTTTTTCTTTATGTTATTTAGCACTTTAAAGTAAAACATGTACTTTATCTTCAGCATATAAAGTAGTTCTATCAGATCATTAATTACCTGTCAGGCTTTACGCACTGAAATGTTAAACTCCTTAAGGAACCATTTTAGTATGCATAACCTTTATCTCCATTATTTCAAAGTAACTACATAGTGGTACTAAATCAGTGTATTCTTTATCTCTTCCACAGAGAGTCATTGTATTTAAATGTCTGACTGTCTAACCTCGATCTTAGCAGGTGCACATCTCACATGTTGAGGAAGAAGCCCCCCGTCCTGCAGCACTTCCTGTCCCTGCTTTCCAGGCGAGCCGGTCACCTCGCCAGGCAGCAGTATGATGTCATCGTGGTGGGTGGAGGTCACGCAGGGACAGAGGCGGCAGCGGCGGCAGCCAGAGTGGGAGCGGAGACTCTCCTGGTCACACAGAAAATAAACACCATAGGTGAGAAAAAAGGCCTTGTGCAGTCTGTCCATCTAATTCTGTTGAGGTTTGGGGAGAACAAGTGCAGTTGGAACTTGACAAGTTCATCATGTAAGTCGCCTCCGTTCCTCGCTTTCCTCACAGGTGCTCTGTCCTGTAACCCGTCTCTGGGAGGAGTAGGGAAGGGCCAGCTTGTGAAGGAGGTAGATGCTCTGGACGGGCTGTGCGGTCGAGCAGGAGACTGGGCTGGGATCCATTTCTCCATCCTAAATCGCAGCAAGGGCCCCGCTGTGTGGGGCCCAAGGGCCCAGCTGGACCGCCTGCGCTACCGTGAATTCATTCAGGTATTAAGTACACAGATGTAAAATAGAATGTCACTCAGTGGAGCACAAACAGGATTCTTGCCTGTGAATGAATTAAAAATGTCTTTAACTGTCTGTGTGTTTCTGGTTCAGTCAGAGCTGCTGTCCACTCCGAGGCTGACGGTGTTGGAAGGTTCAGTGGAGGAGCTGCTGGTAACAGAACCGAACACAGAGGAGCCGGGACACCACAAAGTTACAGGGATACGTTTGGGTATGGAGCAAAAGACAAATATCTGTCAATGTTGACCTGAACTCTGTTCCACCATTAAAACTAAGGTTTTAATTATACGTGATTTAAAATGTCAAAAAATGCCTTATTTCGCAAAGTTAAGTCCTAATCTGTCCAGTAAGTTTTGTGTTATCTTGCCTAAAACCAACCAACAAATAAATGGACAGGGGTGAAAATAAAACCTCCTTGTCCGATGTAAAAAGTCGTATGTTAATCAGTTGGTAATTCCTTCGCACTTCTTTCAACATCTTCCCAGTAAATGGAAGCCACCCGATCTCAGCGAGCTCAGTGGTTCTCACTACCGGTACCTTCTTGTCTGGCTCCCTCTTCATGGGTCAGACGAAGTCCCCCGGGGGTCGGATTGGAGATGCTCCATCGAGCGCTGGGCTGTCCAATACTCTGAGGGAGAGGCTGGGGCTGAGGATAGGCAGACTCAGGACCGGGACCCCTCCCAGGATTGTGAAGGATTCAGTCGACCTTTCCCTGGCGGAGCTCCATCCTGCTGACAGTCATCCAACTCCCTTCAGCTTCCTCAATAAGCACACACGCTGCAAGGTAAAGATTTAGATTAAGTCCTCTTACTGAGGATGCATTTTATTTTATCAGCAAATTCAATGTCCTGTCTATCAAATGTTGATTTACGACAAATCCCTTTCTGACTTTGAGAAGACAAACGCAGTGGGATGCTGCTCACTTGGTTTTCTTCTCCAGTATTCTTACATTTATTTTCCAAAAAACCCAGAAACAAAGCCTGAGGAGATGTTTTCAAGTTGCTCCTTTGTTTTTGAAGTTTTCTAGTTCACAGAAACATGAAAGCAAAGACAAACATTTGTGAAGATGTAACCAACAAACGTTCATTATTTTTACTTAAAAGCACGAGTATCAAGGTGATAATCGTATAAAAGATGTTTTGGTTTTGTCAACACATTATTCCCACGTTATATCAGTTTGACCTTTTGAACTAATTCATGTTTTATTTTGAAATTGAAATCTTTGAAGCCTGAAGAGCAGCTGCCTTGTTACCTGACCACTACAACTCCTGGTGTAGAGAGAGTGGTGAGGGAGAGTCTTCATCTCAACCACCACATACAGCAAGACACCAAGGGTCCCAGGTACACACACACACACACACACACACACACACACACACACGCAAACATACACACTCACACAAATAACTCCTGGCCTCCACTCTCTCCTCTCTCAGATACTGCCCTTCCATTGAGTCGCGAGTGCTGCGCTTCCCAGGCCGGAGTCACCAGGTGTGGCTGGAGCCGGAGGGGCTGACCTCTGACCTCTTGTACCCACAGGGTCTGTCCATGACCATGCCCCCCGACATGCAGCTCCGCGTCATCAGAGAAATCCCCGCCCTGCACAGAGCTGAGATCTACACACCCGGTAAACTGACGGAACCCTGTTTGTCTAAGAGTGGTTTACAATAAATTCAAACACAGCGATACAGCATGTCTGCTCTCAGGCCACGGCTCAGTCGGTCCTTCACTGAATGAGAGAAGTACAGTGTAATGAAACGACCTGCTGGTTATGTGCAGTAGTTTATGGATGTGACAGTCAAACGTCTTGAGTGGATCTATTGTGTCTTCGGGTTTTCCAGGTTATGGCGTTCAGTACGACTTTGTGTGTCCCACTCAGCTGAGCCCTGCACTACAGGTGAAAAGCACCCAGGGTCTGTTTCTGGCCGGTCAGATCAATGGAACAACAGGGTACGAGGAAGCTGCTGCACAGGTACCTGCCTTTTTATTTCTTTATATTGAGAAAGTCATACACACAAAATCACCCTGGTGATAAGTTTTTGTGTGTGTGTGTGTGTGTGTGTGTGTGCGCAGGGGCTGTGGGCGGGTGTGAACGCTGCCAGCTGCGCCCTCGCCCTTCCTCCAGTGGCCTTGTCACGAACAGAGAGTTATATCGGAGTTCTCATTGACGACCTGGTGAGCCGAGGCGTTACAGAGCCTTACCGCATGTTCACCAGCCGGGCGGAGTTTCGAACCTCACTGAGGCCGGACAACGCTGACCTCCGCCTCACTCTGAAAGGTACGCACAGTGTCCGGGACTTCAGCATGGTAGTGCCCGACTGATAAGGGTTTTGCCGATATTAACAATAAAATGTTGCAATGATCTGAATATCTGGATGTGAGTAAACTTGTGGAGTATTGAAGAGTCTCCCAAGATGTTCTGTTTTTCTGTGTTTTAGTTTTTCCCCTCTCGTTCTCCTCTGTCAGGGTTTGAGGAGGTGGGCTGTGTGTCCTCTCTGCGTTACCAGGAGGCTGTGAGGGTAAGGGACAGTCTACAGGACGCAGTTTCAGCCCTGCAGACTCTCACTCTTTCCAGCCACAGGTGGAGACAAAAGCTGCCCGATGTCCACATGAGTGAGAACAAGAACAAAATGCTGAGGTGAGTGGAGTCACCAGTGTGATGGACCATGTTTGACTTTTCATCTCACGTTACTGTCAAAGGTACGTCTATATTCAGCTGCAGGGGCCGACTGTCACTGTATGACTTCTCTTTCAGTGGCCTGGAACTGCTGCAGTACAAAGACCTTTCCTTTGAAATGTTGGCGTCTGCCTTCCCAGAGTGCCTTTCACCTTTCATAGAATTCTCACAGAGACTCAAGATAGAGGGTAAAAGCTGATTTTGGTATTTTGAGGCAACAAGGAATTAACGCCTGTGATATATTCATTGTGATGGGTGTTACATGACATAATTTTGGGCTCAGTTACCATATTGCATTTCTTCATCTCTCCTCTGTGTCATGCAGCTGTGTACAAGCCTCACTGTGACTTGCAGAAGAAAGAGATAGAGAGAATTCAGAAAGAGGAGAACATGTCTCTCTCACAGGATATAGATTATTTCTCTCTGCCGGTGTCACTGTCTCAGGAGGTCAGAGAGATTCTGGACAGAGTTCGACCCAGCACTGTGAGTCTGAACATTCATTGTTCTGTAGTTATTGTCTACTTCTAACTTTTTGATTTTCCAATGCTTTTTAAAAGTAGTTGTGTCAACCTGCAGAAGAGCTTATATTTTGGCAGACTCTTAATTTGCTAAATTGATCAAACGCCTGTGCTGTCACAACTAACTAATTCTATGCTTTAATCCTCCAGCTGGGCTCCGCTACACGTCTGCAAGGTATAACCCCCGCTGCAGTCGTCAATCTCCTCCGCTACGTCCGCAGCACAGAACAAAAAGAAAGAAGAACGAACAGAAACCAACCCGACCAAAATGAAGAGAGAGAAGAGGAGCCGTGTGCACGAAATGCATCTTTACCTCAGTGAACCGACGATTCACAAACTGTCTTGTAAAAATGTATTTATTCCTGTAAATGTTACAAAACACATATATTAAGGTATTTTGGGATGACACAGTATGCAACATGTCTCTGTATAAAAAAATAAACATTCTTTTATCTTACAGCTACCTTGTGAAGAATTCTAATCCTATTAGCAACATGACAGTGAACAGCATTAAACTCCATGTGACCTGCTCAGTGTCACTGCCGTTAATGACAACGTGGCCGTCCAGCTCAGCGGTGCCTCTAGTGAAGAAACCAAATGGAAACTTCCAGCTGGGCTGAGGCGAGCCCCGGGGGGGGTTGGGGAAAACTGTGGTGTCTGCAAATGTCACTTCAGTAGTTAGAACGAGAGGGGACGACACAGGACACTGAAGAAGAGACCAGAGGAGAGGATTGGCACATTTTCATACTACAGACATGAAACATGTTGCACAGAAAATATATATATTTAAACTTGTTTACCTTGACTTTTCGACACTTGAATATGTATTTGGCTCCCAGGATGTAGTTCTGGGGAAGGTGTAAGAGACCTTGGCGAGCCCATAGCACTTGTATAGAAAGAGAGTGCGGGAGAAGGCAGCCTGACTCACATGTTTCCTGAGAGAGGAGACAAGGAAAAGGTTGTTAAAAGGGGAGGAGCACAAACAACCGTATTCAAATCTACTGATCTTCAATTCCTAGTTTCTCACAGTGCAGACTTTGTGAGGTCAGTTGTCAAATAAACTTAACACTCTAAATAATCAACCTTTTTCCTCTTAACACCTCGGCTTGCTGTCTCAGCTGTACCTGTGGGTCGACGGGACACTCCTGGGTGATGACTCTCGTCCAGCTCAGTTGGGACCCTGAGTTCATGGCGATCTCATCAGGAGTGGCAAGTCCCTGCAAGACCCCATAAATCTGGGACCGCAGCTCTGAGCAGTCTCTCGACGGAGAACTAGGAGACACATGGAGACGCTGAAATGAATTGTGGAAGATGAACTAAAACTTTCCTCCTTCATTCATAAAAAAATCAACTAAAACTAGAGATGACAGAAGTGAAGCTGATTCATGAGGATTCACCTGAATGTGCAGCCAGCGATGGTGTTGAGTGTGAAGAGGACAGGTGCTCGTTCGCTTGGATCAATCGAACACTCTCCACCCTGAGACGCCCTCAGCGTGGTAATCTAACTCACTGTCAAGGAGCCACGATGCATCATTGACTTTAAAGCAAGTTGGATATATGAAAATATGACTTCCTAGAATGGCACTAAGTGGAGCACATACCTCCACCAAGGCCCAACAGTTCCCCTAGATTCAGTCAAGCTGCATCAAATTGCACAAACTCATAAAGATCACAAAAATGTTGAAAAATACCTTATTTTAAGTAAATGATTAGTTTTTCCTGGATCCACCACCTAAAACAAATCCACTCCAACATTAAGTGGGTTCTACGTCAACTCATACGTCACCATTTCTCTAAGTTACAATAAAATCAGTACCATAGTTTTCGTGTAATCTTGCTAAGACACAGACAAACTGCGATGAAAACAACCTCCTTGGTGTTCATGATGTAAATAGTGAGGATACAGTCGTCATGTTTCCATTAAATCGACCAATGACAGGAGACCCCACCCTGAGTCCGTCTGCCGGGATCTGTCCTCCTGGAGAGGGGTTGGGTGTGGCTAACTGCAGGAGACAAACGTCAGTGTCTGAATCCCTATTTCATTTTGTGTGTTCGGTTTTGAAGGGTTACCTGGAACTGCACAGAGTGCGTCTGCATCACAATCTGATTTGGATCCAGATGAGCTAATACTATGTTCACAGTTGCATACGTGAGTTCTCCTCTGCCTGTGTATCCTATGACAAACTCCACCTTCAGGAAAGTCAGACAAAGCAGGGATTAGATTAGATTGAGGTTTAGGTCAAATATGTAGGATTTAGGATCGTATGTGCAGCTACTCACCTTTTTTACCACGTTGAAACAGGAGTTGTTTAGTTGGACTGGTGCAGGCCACTCAGACAGGGGTGTAACTGGGATCTGAAAGCAGAGTTAGCTCAGCATCAGACTTTCTAAGAAGAAAGATTTTGAAATCGAATTAAAAATTCTCATACTGCAACTTCACTTAAAACACCGCACTCAGGAAATTCGCTTTGCTGTTCATTAACCTGTGCAGAGGAACACGAAGAGCAAAGTGTTCCTGCTACTGTCATGTTGATCTATAAGTATAATCAGTGCGACTTACCAGAAAGTCTGACACTTGTGTTGTCTCAACGATTGGAATCTGTAATAAAAGATACAAAATGATAAAAGCCTTTCCACTGTGAAATTCTCCAAAGTAATGATCTGCATGAAAAACACTTTTGTGCAGGAGAGACTTACAGACCTTGATTAGACTTAAATCAGAGAAGTAGGAGCGGGAGTTGAGATATGGGTCTGTGGTGCACGACTGAGGCGTCAACATGCGGGTGCAAGACAGAGAAGTTGACCTCAAGAACTCTACAGGCAGAGAAAAACAGACTGATAAGATGAATAGTTATTGTAAAGATATGGTTGTGATAGAAAAGATGTCGGGGATACTACCCAGCAGTTCACGTGCACATATTTGATTTGTTGTGAACTCACTTGCAGGGTTGCGGTTGATACAAAATGATGCGGCAGCCCCTGGAGACGGCTGACGAAGGAGACCCCTCACAAAAGAATTGGAGAAAGATGTCTGAATGACATCATCAACCTGCAAAATTAAAAAAAGACTCTTATTTGCATTTTATTTATTAAAGATACTCTCCCAATTTTCATGTTAGTACTGACTAGCAAGCTTAAATCTCAAAAGTATATCACTTGTAATACAGATATTTTGTGTTACCCTGTAGAAAGGTCTGCTGTGGCTGCTGCCTGTAGGTGCTGGTGGTGAGAAGTGGTACGATGCCCCTAATGCTGGATACGGAGGAAGAGCTTGGAAAGACTTGGGAGCATTATCTGTTGAAAGAACATGGGGGAAGAATTGTATGTTTATTACTGAGTCTCATTTACATCATTAAATCATAAATTATTTGAACCTTAATTGTACTTTTGTGATAATCTTATTCTATGTTTTACCTTCTGACCGGACACAAAACAGAGAGTCAGTCTCCGTGACCAGAGATGAATCCACGTTAGCCCGAAACATCAGCCATTTCTCAATGCAAACCCCTGATCTGTGAAGTAAAAAGAGTTTTTATGCCGTGGAATGTTTCAATTGTGCTGTAACTTCAGTGCAGCGAACAGGACTTACATGGCTTTCTGAGGACATCCGGTGAAAACTGTACTCAAGTTAGCGACGCCACAATCCACTGAGTCGCAGCAGCAGCCGATATCACAGAAACCCGGGGTTAAATCACAGAGACAAGCTGGAAAACAACAGAAAAGACTTGTGTTAGTGGGTTTGTGTAGAAATACCAGGTCAACTGAGACATAATAATTATCCTTTAGCTTCTGAAAACTTTTTATTTTTGTCAAGCGGTTTACAAATTGACACTGGCTCTTATTGGCAGATTATTGCAGCCAATCTACTTCTCATGTTACTTCCTTGTTAAGCAGTTTGTAATATTGTCAAAAAAGTGCTATATAGATTAAGTTTTTTATTATTACTATAAATAAATAATACATTGCTAGAAAGCACTGCAGACGTGCCTACAGGTAGATCATCCAAGAGAACAATATGCTGTGGAAATGTCAACGTTTAAGTTTTAAATCTTTTTTTATTTGCACAACCCACATTCACAAATCACAATTTGTCTCATAAGGCTAAACAATGTGCGACATCCTCTGTCCTCAACCCTCAACAAGAGTTAAACTAGGAAAATAAAGTTTAATATAACAAGGTCTTACATTTACAAATTCACAGATCATTGAAGAGAAAAAAGTTGCATTAGACAGTGGATATATATATATATATATATATATATAGAGAGAGAGAGAGAGAATGATCATTATCATCATTATACATAAAGTTTATTATAATAAGGTCTTAATGTACAAGTTGCTCTGCAGAAGCATCTAGAAACAGAAGACTCGAGTCAAACAGGGTGAATTAAACAGTGATAGAGTTTGATGGGTGTTTGTTTGGCCTCACGCTGCAGAATAAAAACACGTGTCGCTGGATGGTTTTAAACATGATGGAGCAACTTACCCTGCGGAGCCTCCTCGGGCTGGACGGTGGCTGCAGGGGGAGCCTCGGTGGACCAGGCGGCGGCCTCGGTGGACACAGCCTCGGTCACTTCTGTGGTCCACACACCGGTGGAGACCTCGGCTTCTGTGCCTCCAGGAGCGGGGGTCGACGCCGTGAAAGCTCCTCCATCGGTCGGGCCGACGGTTGAAGAGACCCCCGAGTCTGTGGCTGCGTTTGCGAACCACACACACAGAGTGAGCAGCAGTGACCGACCCCGGAGGCTCATCTCCTCACAGGGACATGGCGACCACCGCCGCGGTCCTGGCTTAGCTCGTTAGCTTTGGCTAGCTAATGCTAAAGTAGCTGCTCGCCGGCGCGTGTTCCCTGCGTCACAGGAAGCTAATTTAAGATATTTAAATAACTATATAAAATAAAACAACGTTAAAATTCCCGACATGAACGTGTTTATCTCAACACGCCGTCAGTTGGGGGAGCTTCTTGTTGCCAAGGAAGTTGTCATGGAGACTTCCGTTTCTAGGATAAAGATGCCGTAAAACTAGTAAAAGACAAGAAAACATTTTTTTTTTCAACTTCAGAATCACAACTTCACAAAAAAACAAATAAAAGAGAAAAACTTTATAAATGAATGGAATGAAACGTTTTAATTATAAATGTCAGTTCATTTCAAGAGTGAAGATCCTGTGTGTTAGACTGAGGTGAAAGGGATCTACTGGCAGGAATTAAATATAAAATGATCCTGGTGATGTTTTCACTCGTGTGTTTCATTTAAATTGTACAAATTGGTGTTTTCATTACCCTAGAATGGGCCCTTTATATTCAAATACTTTATATTTATATCAGGAGCGGATCCTCTTTACAGAAGCCGCCATGTTTTTTACAGTACATGCAACTTCACCACTAGATGTCACTATATCCT